TGAAACTAATCCGTAGTTTATATGATAAGAATGGAATTAGGATAATCATTTTCCTACGTTAGCAATATAAATATTTTGGAAAATGTTCTTGCATTGGAGTATAAGAGAGGAAAAAAATAATTAGTTTCGTGCGAGCGTTTGAAATAAACTAGAATATCAAAAAATGGTCCTAATATTCCGGTATTCATCCAGTCACATTAATAATGCTCCTTGTAATTGCATTTCTCATCAAGCGATTCAAAAACCATTTGTTACCGCAGCCTCGAAAAAATAAAATACGTGCATGAATCATGTTTGCTAGACTAAGATTTTTAAGACTAAACTATAGTTAAAGATTTTGAAGCTTCTACAAATGCCATCTCAAAATTCGCTAAGCTAGCTTGAACTTTAGATAGATAATTCAAGTTAAAATTTCAAAATTTAAAGCAATCTTTTGTACATATAAGTTAACGAGTTTCTTACCTTCTTATTTAAAGTTTAATAGTGACTTGTCATCCACACCACGGAGCTAGTCCAACTGAATAAAATATCGTAGTACTATGAATTATATATTCGCTTTTTATCGAACTCTGTGGTTAATTTAATTGTTGTATTTTTCAGAACCTGTTTCACTAAACTTAACCCGAACTTTGCTTAATATTTATTCACTTGAAGAGACTCTGCAGCTTGAGTGTAGCTCTGCGTAGTTAATTGTTTTTTGAAAGCCACACAAAGAATGAATATTCGCGGCCGATTCTAATGGGTCTCAGACTCAGACTTTACCATGAATATGTTGTTAAAGGTGATAAATATTTCAGGTCCGTATTTAAGTATTTACATGACAATACTTCATTATGATAGAAATAATAAAAAGATAGTTATAAATTTATTTACGGATATGTTTCCAGAGTCTATGTGAAAAAGCTAGCTGGAGGAAGGTTTTAAGACCCCTATTCAAACCCTTTTTTAAACGTACGGAACTTACATATAAGAACAGGAATATTACTTAAACACGCGCAAAAAATGCTTAACACGAAAAAAAATAAAAAATAAAAAATAGCATGGCTTGTTACTTGACATCATTACAAATACTCGGCACGTATTTTTATCAAAATAATACTTTTTTTATTATAAATTAATGCATAACAAATCAAAGATGTGTAGCGTATTTTTTGTAAAAAATAAAAAGGAAATAATGTTGGTTTATAAGATGTGTAGTATATTTATTATTGACGATGCTTTAAAATTAAATTCAGAAAGGAAAGCGTTTGATATTTTTTCAGTGTATGTTACGATATTGTTACGATGACTTTTTTGTTTTAAATGATTTATCTTGTGTTTCAACCTTTTGATCTTTTAGAACTAAAAATAAACCTGAACCACGTCCAAACTCTCTCCTTTAGGAGTTTTATAAATTGAGAATCCTTCCTACCTCGGAAATTACAGTGAGGTTAACTTAAAAGCGAACACTTCTTTGTTTCGTTTTGAGGAGTTTTTTTTTGTTTTTTGTTTTTGTTTTGTTTTGTTGTCAATTTTAATTTGTTTCTAAATACACACCGTATATCCTTGAGCCTATCGAGCAAACTTATATCTATACGATTTAAAGTTAACGCCTCAACCATTAATCCCATAGATCGACCTTACAATTTAAGGTATGAATACAATAAAAAAATTATTTTGATCACTCGTCGCACTCAATGCTTCATTTTAGAGTGTTTGAAACAGTCTGAAGTGTTTTTGAAGTGTCCTCATGGCTGTATGGGTTGCCTCAAGATTCTTCATAATGTATCGCTGCGATATATATATGTACTAGCTAGTTTTTGTGAAGAAAATGAATTTAATTAAGTTTTTTGAAATAAATAAACATGTATTTTTTTTCCATTCAGATAAAAAAGTATATATATTGGCTTTTTGGCACTTATCTATTGGCACGCACTTATATCTTCTTATCTAGATACTTAAGTTCTTTGGCAGAGATCTAAAACGAGTATTTGTGATAGAAGCCCATTATCGTACACCATAATAACATCCATAATAAAACGTTTACTGCACAATGTTTGACTAATTAAAGTTTGTACATTTGGATTCACTCTTCAGTCTACTGACACATGAATATCTTTTGAAAAGATCAAGTACGGTAGCAGCACTACTGTATACGTATAATAAACCGTTTGGTACATAGTAAAAGCTGACAAAGCTTATAATACAAATAGATGTATATATTCTAGTTATACGATGCTTTCCAGTGAGACACTTTGAAATATCCCAATTGTTGTAGGGGCACTTGGATGAAAACGCCCCAATTTTTGAAAGTCCAAATAACTGAAGTATTTGAGGATAACGTGACTCAATGCTTGGCTGCTATTGGGGCCATATACATAGGTTTACCCAAGTTTAAAGTCATTTCCAATTTTCATCCAAGTTCCCCTTTAATGTTTTATTAGGAAGCCAATTCATATTCTAAGCTTTTTTCTTTTTTTTCTTTTTTTGTATACACAAGTGACAATAGGAATATTCGATGGTATGCCACGAGAAAGCATTGTATGACTATGTTAAACCTACGCCTTAAAAATACTGTATTTTCTAAGGTGTGGCATAACCTAATAGAGCGTAGAGCCCCATTGCATTTATTGATAAAAACAAAACACACAATAGGCCGTTCTTATGCAACACAAAATATTTATACTCTTTTGTCCAACAGAAGAAATTCCTCTAGGGACTCAGTGCAATGGATTTATATTCGAGACCCTTTTTTTGAAAATAGGAAGAACTCAAGATTCGAAGAACGTTGAAGGGGCAAACGGCAAATGGCAAATGGTGATTGGCGATTTCACGACAGAAAGGCTCATTGAAAATGCATCGAATCACAATTAATCGAGGCGTTTTAATTTGTTTCGTCGACTACAAACAACAATAAAAATCTCAACAACAACATGTGTGTTATTCACAATAAAGAATACTAATAGAAATAAGAAATAAAATACAAGTCCAGCTTTTCTTGCATTTTGGAATGACCTATATATGTCCTATCACTTATCGCCTATCGGCTTATTATCTATCGCTGTCGCCCCTTCAACCTTTTTAAAATATCTGTATACAATTGCAAAAAATTTAGTATCGATGATAATCCGCTTAACATACGACGTTTCGCATACGAGTAGCTGTATACTTATATTTAAGTGTAAACTCTCTATAGACACTCTTCACGGTAGTATACTCGTCTCTCACCTTTGGGGTCTCGGGCTCTTCCCTTAGAAGGCTCCCTTTAATAGCCTGAGTACCAAAATAGAAGATCGATCAGCATTCGACATTTGGAAGCAACGTTATTATATGTAATATTTAGAATATGAGTGGTACCACTCATATTCTAAATTGCTTCTAAAACTCAGTGTTCTATACTTTCCACTCGAATAGGCAAGAGTTCTCCAAACGTTCCAGTTTGGTGACCAAGAGTTCTCTATGTGTTCCGGTTCAGCGAGCACTTGTTCATCAGTACAATCAGCCCCGATTTCCCCTGGGTCCGAAATCAAAACCGCCCCCGGGCTTTTTAGATTCTCGAGTTTCTTTATAGGGTTTAAAGTTCCATGCACGTGATGGATTTGAAGGACCTGATAGGCCTAAATGCTCATTAATTATTCATGAGTTTTAGAACGGGGTTATATAGTGTAGGCTGATATTTGCACTGCATATGTAGATATACATGACTATCTATTTCAAACCTTTCCGATTTAAGTACAGTTTAGCTTATCGTTTGATTACATTATGTTTCGTTTCGTTTTCATTTTCATTTTCATTTTCTTTTCTTTTTTCCTCTTTTTGATTCAGGTGCAGGGCTTCTTTTTTCGTTTCTACTAATTGTTTATTTTCGATTCGTTCCGTTTCGTTTCATTTCATTTTATGTTTATATGCATCGACTATGCATCGAGGTGGACTCCTGACGACGGTAAGAGAAGAAGGGGACGAAGGGAAATAAAGCCAGAACTAGGGAAGACCATGGAAGAGATGGATTTAATGGCAAACTGATAGGGAGAGGTGGAAGTCCTTGGTATCAGCCCTACCTGCCACACAGGGATAGAGGATAATGATGATGCATCGACTTGCTAATCACTGCCTTTAATACTAAATAATCAATCTTCACTACGTTACAATTTCTAAAGGAATTTAGAATCGCCTAAAACATGTGTATTCATACTTTTAGTCTATAAATTTCTGTATTTGTGTCGCATTATAAATTTGTCAATAAAACGTGATCAGGTTTCCTAATGCTTGCTCTTTTGCAATTGATGTTTACGAACAACGTGTCGAACTACTCAAATAAATTATAGGCATACCCTTGATAGGTGACAGTAAAAAAAGGATTATAATTTGACGCCTTTTGGTCTACGTATTGCAGAGTGCATTCGTGAATCGAGTTTCAAAAATGTGTATTTGTATAGTGTTTCTCAATTTGTATAGTTGTTCCAATTGAACAAGTTATTACTGAAGCCATTAGTGTTGTTTAGCCGACAGCACTTGAGGATACTCAATATGTTTATATAGCAAGCTTGTTTAAGAAATTTAAAGAATGGGAAAACGTGCACCGAAGAACAGGAAATCAATGTAGAGCTATAGTACGTCAAAGATAAGTAGATCTATAGAGCGATATCAGCGCTAAGCGAGCCGTTTTGTCTGTAATGTCTGATAGCAGGGATTTATCTTCTACCGGCCACCTTTAGAGTTATGATATAAGCTGATTTCTAGATTTCAATATACGGGAGGTTTTGTTGAACGATAATCAAAATACTGGCCTTTTTTTGTAAGTGATGCATTTACAAAACAATCTAGTTGATAATAAAGGAGAAAGACATTTCCCCTCATCATCTTAAAAAGTGCAACATATGCGTTTCAACGATGCACGAAATAGATAACTATATATAGTATCAAAACAGTCGATAAAATGGCCTTTCTTTCTTTTTCTCTCTTTCTCTCTTTCTTTCTTTCTTTCTTTCTTTCTTTCTTTCTTTTTTTCTTTTCTTTTTTCTTTTCTTTCTTTTCGAGATCAATACGCGAGAGCGCACGCTGGTTGACAACGAAGACCGACAGCATAAATGAAATGTTTCAAGGCACTCAAAACATCGCACTTTTAAGAACCTTATATTTTTTTAATGAGCAGATTACTAAATAAATCTTGTTTTTCTTCTATTGTTTCGTTGCAGGAAATAGGCAGCGTTAATCCGGCATTAAATAGTTTTTTTTTATAAAAAGAAAAACTCAGTCATCGCATTAATGTCTCAATTTTAAAACCGTTTCCAGTATAAGTGTACGTGCTGTTAGTCAGTAGCCTATGCTTCAAACTGATGATCAATACGAAAATACGTTCGACTGATTGATGCGAGCTTGTTTAAGATGCTTTACTTGGCAGACTTGTCGAAAAAGAAAATATTGTTATCAGTGCTCGCATGCACGCGGTAACTGTGTTGGCCGCAGATAGCTACAAACACATAGTTCAGCTTCAAGCCCTGTAATTTGGTTTATGACCGGCTGGCAAAGCTTTGTCCTCGTCACGCGGATCGTCAGGTGGATGGATGCCGTCACAAAACACATTCGATACACTGGCAATGGCAAGAGGGATTGGCTCGTTTCGTTTTTCCATCCTAGAGACGTCATTTGGATATATCTTTTTCTTGAACGCCGATCGGATCTGCAAATGAATACGATGTATAACAACTTAAGAGACCTTAGCAATCCCTTTCTTTATTACCTTGGGCGTATTGCTTTCCCAGTTCAGACCACGTGTCAACCCTTAATATTCTTTGTTTTTTTGTCATCTCATCATGCGCAACCGTGAAGAAAGAAATGATACTCTAGAGAATGACACGTGATCTGTAAATCCATTCGAAGACATGTAGCATAATATCAAAATCAAAGGTCCGTGAAATATTTACCTCTCGGTTTCCAACGCAATGAAACAAAAAGATGAAAAACCCCTGCGAGAAAAAGGGTTTTATTGCTTATTAACATGAAAAAAAATGTAAGGTAAAATACTGTAAAAACGCTACTGATTCAACTGAAATATAGGAAGGTTAATGTTAATTTTCTGGAGGGAGGAAAGCTGGAGAACCCGAGGAAAACTAACACCTTTGAAGCACAAGACAGAATCAAAGGACCAAACTCAATTAATCGATCACGAATACAAAAACACCATAGGACATATCAGCACACTGGCAAAATGTTAGTTTTATGTCAAATCTAGAATAAAAGGGGGCTGCCATTACATCTTTATCCAAGACATTACAAGTTCGAACCATTAGGAGGTTTTCAAAGGTACGTTGCTAGCACTATGTATTAAGATCATATAAGAACCGGATTAAAAAGTGTTCCGGCCGCCACTTGACTTGAAACTCAAATTACTTATTAAAAGTGCGTGCCCCTCAAAGTGATTCTAATTGATGGGGCAGACCTGGTCTGGTCTACTGGTCTACATGCCCCCCTCTCAAAGTGATTCTAATTGATGGGGCAAACCTGGTCTGATATACTGGTCTACCTGCGTGCCTCTCAAAGTGATCCTAATTGATGGGGCAAACCTGGTCTGGTATACTAGTCTATATGCGCGCCTCTTAAACGGATTCTAATAACCTGGTCTGGTATACTAGTCTATATGCGCGCCTCTTAAACGGATTCTAATTGATGGGGCAAACCTGGTCTGGTATACTGGTCTACATTACCTGGGTCGAGTTAAGAATAGTGAAAATGTAAATGAGAATGACGTAAGGATGGAACATGATGACGCAACCAGTAAACCACGTGATACCAAGTAGAGGAAAAAACAGACAACAAGCCTTTAAATTTCGCCTAGAAAAAAAACATATCGATAAGTGTTTTTGCTGATCGTTTGAGAGCATAGGAAAGTGTGTGCAAGTCCATTCAGCATCTTAGCATTTTACCACATCTTGCAATAACTAAGCAAAAGCTTTTAATGTGAATGTAATAATGTTATGCATAGATATATTTTAATTAGGTTTACTTGCTAAATCTTGTTTAAACGAATTCAAATGTTTTCCTTTTTTAAAACGTTTTTTTAGTCAACATAAGCTTCGTAGGCTTTCTAAAGTAAAGGTATCCTTTGTAGTGCTGGTAACATTTATAAATTCTAATTCATTAAATCAAAAATATCGACTACCTCACCACTACTTTGTCACGAATTATGGGATTAAATTCTTCAAGCTCAAGTTATGCAGCATCTTGAGCTAATCGGCCTAGTAGTTTCAGAAATAGCTATAGTGTACTACAATTTGTATAGTTTGTACTTGTACACTCCTTAGATTAATGGTTTTGGCAATAGATGTTTTGCAGTGCCCACGCCTATAATACAGCTTGGGCTGCCTGTGGTTAGATGAAAGAACAAGGCCCTTTGCTCTTTGGAATTGAATTCTTTCTCATGTAAAACGATTGTWTTGTTCCTGCYATCTRACATGGCTGCCATCACGTGATGGTGCACAACCTCTATTCAATTGCCATCATCAGTAGTGAGCAACGTCGGAAAGGGAAAATTACACATTCCTCAATCAAAATTTTAAAAATAAAAAAAATTGCGGCCGCCATTTTGGCAAAGAGACTATTACTGTCCCAGAAAATATAGTCCTTAAACAATCATGAAATTACTGATATTTAATAGACATTTGTTGACACATTTGTTTCAATATTTATATTGATAGAAGATCAATATATAAGTGGACTTTCTTGATGCTTAAATGCTTGATTTTGTGTTGGATTTAATATAAAGGACCCAATCAAATTATCCCTAATATTAGCATCATTTTTGTTTATTTACCTGACGACTGACAATCTTTGTGGTTTGGGCTGCCTTATTTTCATTTTTGAAATTTCTTTCATGACACGAAGAAAGAAAATCAAATTTGCCTGTAGAAAATGATAGATATTTAACTAAAACTTCTTGTCGGTGATTAAAAAGATGCATTGATTTAAAAAATAATGTATTGTGCAGTTTTCGCATGATTTTGAGTGGGAGGCATACGGTACTGACTTACAGCACCTATACACTAGTACGGCATTTTGTAACACTGAAATGATTTCCCATGAGAATGGTTGCCGTATGAGTGGGAAACGTACGGTACTGACTTACAGTACGTACACGGTACGACATGCCATAACAATGAAAGGGCTTCCCATAAGAATGAATATCGTATGAGTGGGAAACGTATGTTACTGTCTTACAGCACATACAAGGTACAATATGCCGTAACATTGAAAGGGCTTCCCATAAGGATGGTTATCATGTGAGTAGCTAGAAAACGTACAGTACTGCCCTACAGCACGTACAAGGTACAACGATGCCTTAACAATGAAATAGCTTTCTATTGTTTATCGTAATCCACCCAAACATAGCGTTTAGTTTAATTAAGCTACAGTAAGATAGGAAAACCGCTCTAAGTAGTTTAAAAAGCAAGCAATACTTACGAGTAGTATTAGCGACATAGGTACGTTAAAGACCCAAGCAAGATATAAATAATGTGAAACCCAACATCTGTAAGATAAAGGAAACAACAGTTGGACTTTTTTTACTAAATTAAAATGAAGTAATCCGGCATAACGAAAAAATAAATAAAACAAGAATAGGCTGAGATCGTTAATAAAGTTTTAGTAAAAGTGCGTTTTATTTATTTAATGACCCATTGCGCCTTTAGACCAATCGAGGATCGATATAATCTTCCGTGCTCAGCAGTTTGGTAAAACTAATAATCTTTTTATTTATACTGGGATTTGAGAGTAGCAGAGACTGCTTTAATATATATGAGTTCACTCACACGCACTACCACAGCGTTCGAATAATTTATATACACAACTCTCAACTCACATGTTGGTTTTTGAGGAGGGAGGAAACGGAGAACTCCGAGAACAAACTCAATTCACACATGGCTTTGCAGGGCTCGAAACAGCGACCCGACCTGTTGGACTCACAGCGATGAAAGACGCCGCATCATAGCAGCGTACACCACAAATACCACCCCATGTACTTACATGTCTTCTTGAACGAATCCATAGATACCTTTGGGTCCAAATGATGATATAGATAGCGATACACACACCAAGAATGCTGGAAAACCTAATAGAAATAATAGGGATATTTTGCACGTTCATTCATTTTTTATAGAAACATTAACCAAATGTTTATGAAATATATATACAAGCCGCAAAAACACCTTAATTTCTGGACGATTGATTCAATGAAATGGTGAAATAAAAGGATTATTGGGCAAAATTGGGAAGTTAAATTGTTGCGAAATATACAACCTCCGAAATCACGAAATTGACATTTTGCAAAAGTTTCATATATGGAATAAACTAAACTCATTTCATTTGTCCAATCTTTCATTCATTCTTACCCCAAGCAAATAGATAGCACGCTTTGATAGTCATTTCTGAGTTATAGACTCTGACTATTCGAAAGTATAGTTGAATTCCTTCCACTAGCATCCAGCAAAGAGAAGCAAGAAAAAACAATTGCAGGAGTGCACCAACCATCACACATATGGCCTAATTAAATCAACAACAGCAAGTTAGTAATAAAACCGTTGCAAAATACCGCTGCGTTCCTTAATTATTTACTCATTTATTCAGACCTCAATTCAGCGCAAAATATTCACAAATACCAACGTTTAAATAAAAAATGCGCTACTTCAACAATAACACATAATTATCCTATATAAAATAGAAGGCGAAGTCATTAACCCTCAGTGAGGAAAGGTACGCTGCACATTTCATGTTGTCCATGTTGCTGCACTGTGTACAACATATTTTTTGTGTAGATAAAAATAGGCAGCCTGGCTTGTCAAGGGCGGATCAAAGAATAGAGAATGGGTCGAATAATTAACCTCATCGTTCCGAATCCGCCACTTCTTACTGCTTTCGTGTATAAATCATAACATTTTTTGCGCATGCGTGCGTACTGTTAATATGGACAATGCTATCGTGTGATGCGTTGCAGGACGTTGTTGCTCAAATTGCCGCGCCTTAGGATACTAGCAGAGTAAGCCGAGTATCTTAAATCCTAGGCCGTGCGCATCATTACCGAGTCAATGCAATAACAATGTATTTAACCGCCATCTTGCTTGATAAGGCAAAGGAATCTTAACAGGTTTGTAAGCTTGAAATGAGTGAAGACTCACCGGGAAGTGTGTTGCACGGATGCCTGTTACAAACAAAAAGTGGGCCATCCCTAGAGACGCTACGAGATTGAGTCGTATTTGAGATAAGTTTGACTTACGATCTCTGCAAAGAACAACATGTCTTAGGTTAAGCCGCAGTCATCAATAATACTTTGTGGAAATGGAAAAAAAGGGTCGGAGGACTGAGGGGAAGGTTCCATGCATGCATTACAGTAGCTAGGCTGATCCCAACCCTAAACTTTGTCAAATCCTGAAACAACCTTATATTGAAATAACTTCAATTTAAAGCGCTCTCTTGATCAACATTATCCTGGGTTTAGTGTAGACAAGAGACCATGAAGAGCAGAGAAGCTAAGACTGGGAGAGTCCCTTTCTGTTCTTCAAGGTTTCTTGGCGTAGAACATTCACGTTTTGCAGTGAAGGTCTAATGAGAGGATTCCAAGTCCTTTTACCGGATAGGAACCAGAAGCACCCAGTCACTTTCAAATGTAATGAGCATTAGTAGTGTTGATCATGTAACTAGTGTCCTTTTATTTTGTAACTTTAAAATCAGGTCATACTCACGTGAGCGTGATGTAAGCGATAAAGGTAACTGTTGATCCGAACAGCGATAGACTTAGCCCTACTATTGTGAGTAAGCTTAGAGTGTCTTGGTCAAACGAGGAAATCTAATTAAAGCAAATATTTTATTTTAGTATAATTTTAGACTTCAATATAGAGTTTCTCAAGCTGTGATTGGTCAAGCCACCGGTGCCTTTTTAGCTTGGACGTTTGTTTTCTTATTTCAAACCACGTTTCGTTCCTTTGATAACAGGATCCTTTGTTTCATTTGCATCCAAACAAAAAAGTAACTCAAGGGAATGACAAGTGGTCTGAAATGGGCAAAATATTATGTCCACACTAAAAGTCTATTTTGAAACATTCAACGACACCAAGAATATAAGTAATTTCCTCACACGATACCCTGGCTTCAAAGGACATGACAACACGGTAGTACCTTGTTCTTTCCAGGTGTTTGCATTAAGACGGCAAAAGAGGTGAGATGATTACAGCTGCACACGGTTTCGTCATCACTCGAATGTAGTAGAGTGCATCCCTCATCTGACCATTTTCCGTCTTTCTGTTCACTATTCCTATTATAACCAATGAATGATAATTGTCATTATTGGTATTATGTCACAATTGAAAAAAAAGGGTTTTGAGATATTCGATCTGAAAGACAACTTCGGGGACTTTTGTAGAAGTGTGAATTTAAATTAGACCCCTAGTACAAAATCCTAAACTAGAGGCAAAACTAATAATAATAAAAGATAAAGAAAGAAAGAAAGAAAGAAAAGAAAAGAAAAGAAAAGAAAAGAAAAGAAAAGAAAAGAAAAGAAAAGAAAAACATTAAAAAAAGCATTGACGTAACAAAATAAAGATTGCAAACCTCAAGAGGTTGTTTCGACTTCCAGATAAGAACTAAATAATGGATTAATACTTTACCTCGGTGAAAACAACCAGAATACACATTTTCTTGAACCATTGGGAGTTCCTTTAGGACGTGCACCCTGAAAAATGGTTAAAAAGAAAAAAAGAAAAACATTACTCACGATAAAAAATTATATATTTTTGTCTTCTTCTCCAAATATACATTAACACTATTTTTCCTCATACCTTTAAATTCATGAAAGAAATAGTGACATTGGTTTTGAAAGCTGTTTGATTTGACGGAAGCCCTCGTAGAATAGAAGTTATTTTGCTTCCAATCTCAAGTTTCCTGTTGATTAAGGTACAACAAGTGCGGCGATCAGTATGCGGTTTGAATAAGGACAACTTAATGGAGCTAAAATGCACGATATGTACTTACTCTGCATTTCCTGTGAATAGACTTGGGAGAATATGGTGCAAGTCATTGTATATTACTTGAACCACAATTGTGCCTATAGTTCAAATGAAAAAGGTAGTGGTACTGAGTTGAGAAGCACATCCTTTTGCTGTATTCATAAATATAAACACCAATATTTGTTTTTTCCATTGATTTTCTGCTGATATTTCTTGCATTACCTAGCTTCTGTTGCTGTTTCACTTGCAGTTACTTATAATGCTGCGCTAATGCTTTTACAGTTCATGCTGCTTTATTTGTCGTTGTTGCTGTCGTTTTTGATACTGCTTAGTAGTAGTTGCTGTTGTTGTTGCTGTTGGTGTTGCTGTTGCTGTCATTTTTGATGCTGCTCAGTAATGGGAGGTTCTTGTATAGCGCATTTATACAACGTCTCAATGCGCTTTACATTAAAGGTCAGTGGAGGACTTTACGGGCTGCATATTAAGGCGCTAGGAGCAGCCGTGCAGCTTACAATCATGAGTGACTTGTTAGTATTATGCCTCCAGATTGGGATAGGCTGTTGAACCGGGAGATAATCCCCTACTCTCACACGAATAATTCAACAGATTCTTTTATGTCCCCCATTTTACTGCAGGTAGGAAGGGTTGGGAGACAGGGCCTACGGTTTAAAGTCCTTATCCGAGAAGATTTGAAGGTCTACCTATTTGCAGATATTATTAGAAAGGCAGCACTTCTCCTCAGTTATTTTAAGACGACCCTGATGCTTGAACCGACCTCCCACATAACAGACCGACGCTCCGTTACCAACTGAGCTAACCGAGTGGCAGTAGTTGCTGTTGTTATTGCTTTTGCTGTTATTGTTGCTCTTGTTGCCACTATTGTCGTTGTCGTTGCTGCTGTTTTGTTGATGCTGCTGATTTTACTGTTGTTGGGTTTGTTTGCTGCTGTTGTTGCTGCTGCTACTTCTGTTGCTGCTGTTACTACTTTTATTGCTGTTGCCCCCACTAGTACTGTTGTTTCTACTGCACTGTTTCTTAGGATTTTTTGTCGATGTTCCTAGCGCTTGCTGCTGTTAATTCTACTCTCGATCATGCTGCTTTTAATGTTAGTAATAATATCGTTGCTAATATTAATGATGTTGAAGATAATGTTATTACCGATAACAAAGGTAAAAATAACTAACCGTTAATGAAATTTTCTTGTTGAAAATATATGGAAACATCATTATTCGGAGAATGTAATTGAATACCATCAAAAGGTTCATAGATCCTCATAATCTGCACAGCTAAAAATAAGTAAAGAAATGAACAGACAATATACGATCGGATGAATGGGAAGCACGGGTGGCGTAGCGGTGTGAGCGCTCGCCTTTCATCAATGCGACCCGAGTTCTAGTCCCGCCGGGCTCGGTGTTGTATATGAGTAGAGTTTGTTGGCTCTCTCCTGTGCTTCGAGGGTTTTCCGGGTTCTCCGGTTTTCCTCCCTCCACAAAAATCAACTCCTAAATTCCAATTCGATCACGGAATGAGGGCCCCAGGTTTGTTAATCAATGGCTATTAAGTACTACCCTCGTGAAAAAGGACGGTTTACCCATGGCCAATTCCATGGTTTCTTCTCTGTATCTGCGTGTGTGTGTGGGTGTCTCTTTCTCTCTCTCTCTTCCTTTTCCTTTTCCTTCGTTCTCTCCTTCCCCTCTCTTGTAAGAAGCGGTCAAGAGTGGCCACAAAGAAATAGGGCGCTCCACAATGTTACAATAGTAGATTCCATTTCCCTCAATGTAAGTAAACGAATTTTTCCATAGTTCCTTATGAGACCACCTGATCAAAAAGACATATGAAGACTTACCCATGGATGCTGTGTCCCAATGAATCTCTCGATTGCTGTAATTCAAATGCTGTTGTCCGTATTCAGAAAGAAAATTTTCAAACGTGTCGATCGCAATCATAGGTTTGCTGGAGTGCTTGTTACTTGTTGTAAACGACTTCAGTAAGTTGGTTGTCAGTTCAGAAGCAAACTAGACACATGGGGGAAAAGTTAAATTTTTTGAACTTTCCTATCATGCCCACTCGTTAAAATTGACCATTGGTGTTCTAGAGGACATTCGGGAAGTCAAACAATAAAATGCTGCATTATTACCAATTGTAATCCAGGTTTGTCTTATCAACGATACAACTGGATCCTTTTTTGTAAGATTTAACCTAATGTAAAGGATAGGAAGGTGAAAGAGGTAAAGGCCCATGTTTAATAGCTAAGCTCCCTACAAAGCTGGTTCAAACCAGTTGCCCTCTTTACTCTATTCTCTCTAACAGTGCTCAGTTATAAAGGTGTTACGTTAATTAGCTAAAAGCGTACTTGCATTAGAGAGCAAATTAACTAGCCTATTAAACTATACTTGCTCCATATACAAGCTACATAAAACGAATGCTCGATGCATGTTTGTTGGAGCAAGATACTGACCTTTGCAGACGTTGCCAAGGTACTGTCTAAGTCACGTATTTGCTGCAAGTATTTGGTCACCTGAAAGCATGAAATACATGATAAGCTGTATTCCGAAACGTCAGTTTTCAGTGGGTCTTTTATGTCCATCTTATATTTAACAATTATTCTGCGTGGTATGGATAACCAAAGTAGGTGATGTCTCTTGAGACAACGTATTCGAGGGAGTTATAATTGTTTTCTGTTTGTACACAGTTGATGACACTTTGAAAGATTCCTTTGAATAAGACGGAGATGTTGACTCAAAGGTGTATTCTGTGGAAGGTGATGGCTTTGAAGATAGGTTAGGTGTAAGTAGATGGTAGTTAGGAAGTTGGTAAGTTGTTGGTAGGGTAGAAAATTGATTGGAAATTTGTAATGTTGCTGAGGGAGATATAATTGTTATTGACGAAGGCATTGACCATAAAATATTTTTGCTCGAAGCGGTTCCCGTCATGTCCTTAGTTTCTTCGCTGATGTAGCGTTCCGATGATGAAGCCATACTTACTTCAGTAGAATTCAGATTTGAAAAGCTTGACTCTATTTCTAGAGAAAATGAGAATACATTGTAAGATGACACTTTTGAAGGCGAAACTAGTAGTCCCTCAGGGGATGTAGCTACAACTGTTGACGTTACAAACGAAAGCAATGAGATATGGTTATTTGATGTCGTTGCCAAGAAGAAGGAAGATGGAACTTCTGAAGTTGAGACTAATAGTTTCCCAGGGGATGTAGCTGCTAATGTTAACGTTACAGACGGAAGTGATAGGGAATGGCTACCTGATGTAGTTGTGATCTCTTGGAGAGACTTCCTGGAATACACTGAAGGAGACGCTGTAGTGTGATCATCAGCATAATTTGAGGAAATGATGGTGGTTGACGGCAAAGAAGGAGTGGAAGATACTGCATGAACATTTGTACTAACGGAGGTTGTCGGTAGTGAAGTTGAAACAGGTGACTTTAACGAAACCACCGTTGAAGATACTGCAAATTCAGGAGTTCAAAGTAAACAAAAAACAAAAAACAAAAACAAAAAACAAAAACAAAAAACAAAAAACAAAAACAAAAAAAACAAACAAACAAACAAACAAACAAACAAACAAAAAAGGGTGAATTTATTGGAATACACCAATCAAAAACAGAACATCAAAGCAAATAAATCTTCAAAAAAATTTTGGGCAAAATCATAAAATGAAGGTATTGCAAAAAACCTTTTCAATTCGGTACGTTCAGGACGGCGCCTTTTGGCTCCAACAACTTTAACTTGATGTATTATATATGCATTTTTGTGTAAGCAGCACTAAACATCATAATAATATGTACTTATTGACTGAGTGGGAGGGCCGTACGGGAAAATATTTGGCTCGAGGTGATGCAGTACGAGAGCCAAATATTTTCCCGTACGGCCCGACCTAACTCAGTCAATAAGCATTTTATCATATGACCCTCACGAAAAAAAATAATAAACAAATAAAAGAAAGAAAGAAATAGCAAATAAATGCTAAAAAAGAGAAAGCGCGCGGATTCGAGCAGGACGGTACGAATTCGTACGGCCCTGCTCGCTCAAAGCCGTGCGGCCTTCTCACGCCATTTTCCCGAAGGTTTTTCTAAGAGCGCGCGCCCGGACAGATACGGGTCATATATTATAATAGCAAATACGCACAATCATCACAATAGCAATCCGTAGGCAATCAGTCCCTGCCTAAATTGGCAATATTGAAGGGGGAAAATAATATCAAACTTGGCCTCTACGAATAGCTCCAAGTCGAAATTGGACTTGATTAAATACAGTAAAGGTATGAATACATCAAGTCGAACTCAACTTGAAGCCATCGTTTAGTCGTCACTTAACGGAGAATTAGGGAAAAATCTGTTTTTCTCTTTTACTAATTTCTTTTTAATTCTGTTTTTCCCTATTATTAAGAGATTTTTTTAGTCCCAAAACAGTTTGAGTTTTGATCAAACGCGCGTTTGCCAATAAATAAAAAGGATAATATCAAAGCTTATTTATCACTTACCATGCATTTTTAGTTCACAAATGAATTTCAAATAATTAGCACAACTAATAGATGTGATTTTAAAATGGTCGTATGCACCTATCTGGGCACATGGTATGTTAGAGTCGTATGATAATTCTGCCGATAAACTGGGATCAGCTTTAACACCATCCTCCCAATACCATCCGTCACTTGTATTTCTCAATCCAATGAAGATGTCAGTACTTTGGACGCTCAGTACATTTCGAAAAAAATCTTGTCGATCAAGGCTGGCATTACGTAATGCCGCCGTGATAAGATTTGCACCCTTGTCTATGCAAAATTTCTTTGCATCGGCATATGAATAAGAAGCAACAGAAGGGAAAAAACATCCATATGGAGTGTCCTTCCAGTCAGCTGGACACCCGGCTGCCGTTAGCGACGTCAAACCTGCTAAACAAACATTTAAAAAAATTAATCTGGTAACTATTACCCCAACGTAGACCAGTTTAATTATTCTTTACAAGAAAGAAAGAAAGAAAAAAGCCAAACGATCAACTGCAATTACCCAAGAAATTTGGCAGTGAAATTATTTTAAGATTAGATTTTGTTCTTTGGACTCAGCCCAGCACCGTGCGACCATAATAAGATCTTGAAATTGCTTTTTCCCTTTTCTTTTCTTTTCTTTTTCTTTCTTTTTCTTTTCTTCAAAAAGCGATGACTTTAGTGACTAGTCAAATGTTATGTTATCCCCCAACAATCTGTTGAGATAGAAAGAAAGGCTTCTCGTTTTTTTTAGCGAAAGGGCAGTCAAGAATTCATGGGCTCGCGTAAATAAGGCTGCATGCAGGTGATTTAGCTTCTCTCAGTCCGTACGAATCAACGAATATTTTATTCTTGGCTTCTTGCCTCAATGTTTCCAAATAAAATAAAAGTCAGTTAAAAGATTAACCAAATATCCTTTAGAAATAGCATATTTCGTCGTCGTTGATGGAAAACGTTGTTTTGGCAATGTTTAGAAAATACTTGAACATTTTTGCTGTGACAATGCATTGCGCGCTTCGATTTCAAATCGCCTTTGTAAATACAAAGATTAGCTTTAGTATAGCTTTCCTATTACAACTTTACAAATTAGAAGAAAAAAAAAGTATCTGTTTACAATACTTCGCTTGAGACAGTAAAAAGAGCCGAATAAATAATAGATAATCTAAACGTTACGATGGCCACAACTACTCAATTGATTAAGTCCAGGGCAGGGAAAAGAGTCGTTAAGAGAGTACTTGTCGACTAGTCTTGCATAGGGCAACTAGTGATTCGAATGAAATAATAATAATTATTCAATATAAAGTACATACATACATACATACAAAAACAAAACAGATCAAAATAAACAGCAAACAAACAAAACAAAACAAAACAAAAACAACAACAGATAAACAGATAGTTTTTCTACCTTTAGCGACGAGAAAAACCAATATGAGAGCTTCGTTTAGTTTCATCTTCAAAAAAGAGTCTGATCAAAATACACGTTAACCGCGAGAAAGCCAAACATCACACACATCTAACAACCAATTTTTCATCTCACCTGCTCGCTTTGAACTTATGACTATTAATTCTCACCGGACTGACAAGGTTGAGTCTGAAAAACACGGTGCTTGTCAAAGCAGTTCTTGAAATGCTAATTATTACTTTTGAATTATAAAAGAAAATCAATAATTACCGAGAAGCTACTTTTGGTTCAGTCACAATAACTCACCAAGTTCAAAAGCAGTTTAAAACCACCAGTAGAGATTTGAAGGGGGTCCTTAGATTGAGTTGTATTTTCACTTTTTAGTGTTTTTAATCACGTAAAGTTATGTTCCATTATTTAAAGCTCACAAACATTTAAAAGAATAGAACAAAAAGTCACACAGAAGGAAAATTGATTGAATACTTTTGAATTCGTTGACAATAATATGGCTAATAATACAGTCGAACCTCTATTAAGCGGTCACCCACGGGACCGGCCAAATGACCGCTTAATAGAGGTCGACCGCTTGATAGAGGTTTTACTTATTTAGGCCACATTTTGTAGAAAATTAACAAAGGAGTGCATAATTGATCACGAAATGTACATTTTATTCTTAGAAAACAGTAACACTAGAAAATAGAGCAATAAAGTGCAAAATTGCTCACTCAAAATATTTTTTTTTCGTCGCAAACTGAAGAACAACATTGCATGACTACGTACGTACAATACAGTGGTTTGTTCTTGCTATAAAAAATCACAAAATTCACATCGCTGGTGTAAACATGATTTGTTTAAGGTACAGTACAGTATTATGAAAAAAACTCAGTTATGGTTGTTTGTAATTTAGGGGCAGACAACTTAAGTTCATGAAACATGTCGTTCACTTTGCTAAGCGCTAGCGACAGCTCTTCGTGACCATGGAATTGCGCGAAGTGGAAATTGGCCGAAACAAACTGGCTAGTGCTTCGGATTTGCTTTATATACAGTGACGTAAAATACGAACATATGTTTTTGAAGTTATGCTATCTAAACAACTGTTAAAAGAATGTTGACATGTTTTATGTATTTGGTGTCATAATACATCAATGTGTAATCAGTAGGTGACCGCTTGATAAAGGTGAAATACAATGCAAGTTTACAAATTGGTACGTTGATATGGTGACCGCGTCCGCTTAATAGAGGTGACCGCTTAATAGGGGTCAAGTTTACAGTATACATGAGAGAGAAAATTTGGGACTTTAGTAAGTGACCGTTGAATAGAGGGTGACCGCTTAATAGAGTGCCGCTTAATAGAGGTTCGACTGTAGATAGAAAGTTTGATGTTCCTTATCGTGCGTTTTTCTTTCGATCTCTTGATAATTTCTTTTTCCACCATGATTTGACATGAATTATTATGAAACTTGACCAAGGAACTCATAATATCTTCAAGGAAATGACACGTGGTCTGATATTTAAATTAATATTCATTAATGAATAATTCTTAACATATGAGAACCAACACAAAAGCCGAAATGTCAACAACTTAAACAAACGTAGTTATATGACTCTGTTTCTTCATTTATCTCGTTTTGTTTTAATCTATCTACATGTTCTTCTTAGCTTCATTTCGTTTCGGCTGAAGTCTTTTCTGTTATATGCATTTTTTCATTTCTTTTTACTTTTTCTTTTCTTTTTTTCTTTTTTCTTTTTTTTCATTAGCAGTTCTGCTTAACTCTTTAGCAAACAAATAAAAGCGGGTTTCGAATAGAAACATTAAAACCAAAAGTCAATAACGGGTTGATTTTAAATATAGGACTGTCACTTCAGCAAGGCCCGCTGTTTTTCTTCGACTTCTTTGAATACATTTGACGAATAATAATATGCCACCTTTTATTCTAGCTGGATAAACTAGAATAATAGATAATAATAATGATAATAATGATAATAATGATGATAATATTAATAATAATAATATATACTGCAGTTTGCATACAAAACTTTGACCCTTTTGTGCATATCACAGGTATATCAAAAGTATATCAAAAATTATGGGATATTTTTTTCGAGTTGTCTATCATTAGGGCTTTCTGAAAAAAAATATCAGGGACGATATCCCATACAATTGTTTGGGAAAGGGTGCGCCATTGGCGAGGGGTGTACTATTGCACTCGTTACTCTCTCTGCACAATTGTAGTGTCACTCCTCGTGATATGTTAGTAGCTATGAAAGTCGGCTTGTTTCTCTCTTGTGCTTCGAGGATTTTTCATCGAGTTCTCCATCTTCTTCCCCATGAAAAAATAAGTAATCTGCCTTGGGTGCGCTTTATTAACACCTACCAACTTCACGACCAAAGTTAGCACATAAAAAGTTCACATAAAACCTATGTACACTTTTACATATAAAAAATAATAATGACAAAGTTTAGCCTATTTATTAACAGTGGATCTCTCTCTCCTTGCCTTTGGAACCATGGTATTTCTAGATGGGTATATCAAAGGACTCTGCGGTCATGAGAGGTGGTTAGTATGAGGCGCAGAAAGGTTGGTCAGTTTACAGTCATGAGAGGTGGTTAGTATGAGGTGTAGACACTGAGGGTGGTCACTGTCGGGGTATCAAGTCGCCAGTGGTTCTTTTACATTACTCTTGCTATAATACATTGGTTAGTGATGATGAAATGTCGAGTAGACGCGACCTGAAATGTAAAGTAGTCATCCGAGCCACTTCTAAATGTAGTGCAGTGTTCTTCTACAATACACTTTCGCTACTACAATTTACAAATTATTTCTGCATGGATCTTTTTCCCTTGGGATCTTGAAACTCCGAGTGATCAAAGTCTGATAGTGTCATCATATCCTCTTGTGGTTTTTGCAGCGTGTGTCCATGTTGACTTGTCATGTTCTTCTGCTTTGGGTTGGTTTGGTTTGAGTGGTATGGAGCACCAGCAGATGAGGGAAGCTTGAGTTGATTTTCGTCGAACACTTTAAATTGACGCCGTAGTTTCCCCTTGATCTAACGTGTCGTACCAAAAATTTTATGAGCATATTTCAATCCAAAAAAAACACAACCACCCACCACCATTTCACACACTATTTTTAGGTTACTTCGCGGCTCATAAAAAATATAAACGGAATCTCGACAGAGCCAGATCATATGATGCATTTGATTAAAAGGTAGAAAGTAGCATATAAATCATTGATCACTTGTATCTAGCATGAAAGGAACTCTACAAAAAATAAATAAATAAATTAAAAAAACATCAGGGACTCTGATTTTTTTCTGAGTTCCTTTCAGCTAGAGACTGTTGCACGTTGCACGTTGCACGTTGCACGTTGCACGTTGCATGTTGCATGTTGCATGTTGCATG